TTCATCACTACCTGTTCCTAGAAAGCAAAAAAAAAAAAAAAAAAAAAGCAAGATATCAGACTGAAAATAAAAATGCTTTCAGAAACCCTGCAAAAAGGTTTAGAGAAAATTCTAGAAATTCTGGAATTAATCTGAGCCGTAATCATGTAACTTCAGAGACATTCTTCAACCAAGCACCCAACAGTTAAATCCTTACAGAAGGAGAAAACCATTACTTCTCTAAATATTTTCTCTAGTTGCATTTTTTAGGCTTTCAAGGATTTTTAGCCCTTCCAGCACCATCCACCAAAACAGCAACCACTGAAGGGGCCAGCTTATCCTGCCAGCTTTTGTTTGTATCAGGAGGCTTCAAATCAATACTTTTCCACGTATTTAAACGCCTGAACAAAATGACAGGAATTGGCTGCCTGCTCCAACTGCTTGCAGCTGATTATCCCACTCTTCAAAACATCTGTCCTCCTTGTGCTCACAAACAGTGGAGTTTTTGAGGAAAGGAATTCTCTCCAAGAATCATCTGACGTGAGCTGTAAGAAATGCTGCATTTCACCTGACTTTCTCAGTGCCCTGCAGGAAGGAAGAAGCAATCTCACACTGTCCTCTTCTGCAGGGAGAAAGGCTGCCAGCCTTCCAGCTTTGAGGATGTGGCCAAAGTGCTACACATTCTTGGCCTACACCAAACAGTAGGACCATGGAGTAGGACCATGGAGTAGGCATTTGGACCATGGAGTTATTGAAATTCTTCTTGAGGAATGCAGAGTTTCCCAGTGCTTTGTAGAAAACAACAGCAAAATCAAATTTGGTTGAAGAAACCAAATCTCAGCCTCTGAATTTACCAGTCTTGGAGCATTAGACAGTCTCTTGAGGAAGTGCTGATGGTACCAATCCAATCAGGCCTTAGACCGGATGATAAGTCAAGAGCAGCCTCAGGTACCCTGAGGATTCAGTTGTGCCAGGGAAAGACCAAACACCCCCATTGGTTTTCTTTGACTTTGCAGGGTACTTCAATACCATCTATCCCAATTTCTTTCTGGATAGCTTATCTATGCCACTATCCATGACAGGATCCTTCCAGAATGTTTCTTTTAACATGGTGGAGGCCCAAGTTCAGCCAGTTCCTGAAAGAACTGTTTCAACAAAGTAGCAGGGAGATTCTGTTGTACTCCACGGCCATTAGCCTCAGAAGCATCACAACATTCTAGTTTGTCTTCACCTTTTTCTAAAAGCTACAGAAAACTACTGCAATGTTTGGACTGTGGATGATCCTCCTGTTTTCAACTTGTCTTCCTGAAAGGCTGTGTGACTCTTGACTCAGATTTTGGAGGCGATGTGGAGAAACAAGACTGAATCAGACCAGACAGAGGCACTGCAGATACAGAAAATGATGACTACAGCTGGAGGTTTGTAACTGATCCTGCATAGGCTTGCACACATCCTGAAAAATCAGTCCGTGGTTCCGGGTGCTCCTGGATTCTGTTGTATAGCTACAGGAGCTTGTCAGGGGATGTCAGCTGTTTGTAAAAGATGGACCTTGTGCTAATTACTCACCTACTAGTAGCATCTAGGCTACTAGAATGCATTTTTCCTTGGGACACTGTAGATCAAGACAGTTCAGGCACACACAAATGGATGCTGACATCTCTCCTAGTGAATTCTGGCATTTACCCATCATGCTTGATGCCACTGCCAAGACTGTGTTCAGATGATTGTTAGCATACCTGCAGGGCTCAGAGATTCCCTCTGACTTATAAACCAAAAGGCCTTGTTTCCTGAGAACAGCTTACTGTACTCCTTTGAGACATTTTTTTTTTTAAAACGCCTGTTTCAACTAGGGGCCATCCCCACCCATTTTGTCGGAAACTGGTGTAAGTTCACTGCTTCCGTGTGTCTTGTGCTTAAGAAACAGGCAGAAAAGATCATGTTCCCAAGAATTTAGAAAGTAGCTCTTCTCTTTTGGGCCCTGCTGTCCATGAGAAGCCTGCTCACCAACTATTTTTCTCAAATCTACCTCACCTGACTCTTATTCTTCTTGTTCAACTCCTCAACAGTTGAACAAAGCTCCCCAACAAACAATTTTAAAGACAAGCAGGTGAAAAGAAAGAGAAGAGGACAATCAGCAGGTAAGGTTGGATGGACTCAATCACAGCAAGCAATGGATGCACTGCTGGAAGACCAAAAGACCAGGTTGATGACAGATCCTCTTGGAGAAAATCTATCTAAGTGGTCACTAAGAGTTGACACCAACTTGAGGCACATAACCAACTTAATGGCTTCCAGGAAACAATCAACCACTTGCTACTTAGGCTGTCCCCAGAGAAATTTGGCACTCTGAATAGGGAGTCTCAGCTAATTCTCAAAGCAGCTGTTTCTGTAGCAGATGTCAGAAGCCCTCAGTGAGGCTGCAATGTGCAAATACAGTGCCACGAGAGAACGTAATTTCAAGACAGCCAATGGTGGAACCCAGTTCGTATCTCTGTTGACCTCCTGCTTCTTCTGAGGGAGTAATACTGTTTCTTTTCTGACACTGCTAGCTAAAGTAAACTAAAAGCTTTGCAAATACAAACCTGATCTTTTTCGAGGGTTAGTATCTGATATCCGGCAGTTCTGCTACAAATAAGTTTCCCACTGCTATCAAAAGAAGCCAGTCGCAGCCTAAGGACAGAAGAGAAATTACACTAAGCAAGCTAAAATCTATGAAAAAAGGTGGTTGTTGTTGTTGCTTTTTCTGAGAGAAGGTGAGGAGAGATGGGGGAGGAACATCTCTTATAGTCCCATTACAGTTCCCAGAACCATGGGTAGCCAACTCCAATAACGTGGAGGATGATGGAAAAGGAGAAAAAACCGAAGAGCCTGTTCAGTTGAAAACCCACACCACTTGCTCATTAAAAGGCCTGAGCAGACTTTGTTTTGTTAAAAAGTACGATAAATCTTTGTGCCTGGGAAGAACACTTGGCCTGTCATGGGCAATGGTGACATGCTGGTGTCTGCCATTATTCTAAACACAGATTTCTGTACACTTATAGGGGTTTGAATGTTATGACGCTGGCAAGTACCTAAGTATTTTATCTGCTATTCACCTATAAGAACAAAGAGAAACACTGTGAGGGAGGGACAGGTTCCTTTGCTGCTTTAGCCTTCTTTTGCCCACTTCCCTTCCTACACTAAGCCCTCCTCACTACTTTCCCCTGGAAAGCATCATGCAGTTTCACAGAAAACAGTTTCAAACAACTTACCCCCCCCTGCCTGCTGCTGCTTCAATGATCTTAATGAACAAATGACTTTGTTGTAGTCATGGACCATGATGTAACAAAATAAGCACCTAAAACTTCAGTGATATAGGCAGATAAAACCAACACATGTCTTGGAATGGACAAGGCTTACTCTGCCTGAGGAGGAGAGGGAGCTGTGAGGAATCACACTCTGCCACTCCAGACAGCAGCCACGATCAACAAAATGCTGTCGAACTCAAGGCTCCTTAGTGGCCAGTTGGAGGGGGGAGGTAATTCAACCTTCTCCTGCTTTTTAATGGAAGGATAAATGACACTGATCTCCAACAACTGCAGTCTACAAGAAGACACAGGTGCCGAAAGAACCCACCTGAAAGCAATATTCCTCCGGGGCTGCAAACTGACTGAGCCGCTGCAGGGCTGATTTAGTGTGTTGCGTTTGAAGACGATGTAACGATTGGTGTATGTGACCAGCAGATCAAAGCCAAAATTGAAGCCTGTCCATCGCCAGCAATACTTGCAGAAAGAAAGAAAAAGAAATAATTTAAGAAATAGTTCTATTTTAAACGAGTGGCTTAAGCTCTGAACTTAAGTAACTTGCTAGGGACCTCTACTTTGACACCTTGTATTTTTTGTGTCAGCTCAGGAAATTCAAGATTTATTGCTTAAAAAAGCTACATGAGCGTTGTTACCATTTTTATACTTTCCAATAACAAAGTTCTTGACCTTTTAAAATGATCTAGTTATGAAAACGCTGTTTGTTGGGAAACAAACAGCTTATAAAAACTGTAAATGAATTACACATTTTTAAAAGGACATGGAAAAATATTTGTGCTTACATCACCATCTTTGGCAAGTTTTCTGCCACACCGCATACTGTTTCCTTCTAGTTCCTCTTTATTAATCTCTTGAGGCCTTGAACATACAAAATAACTTTCTATAAAATGGCATTTTATCAAAAGGAAGCATAAGAAAAGTATTCTAACTGGTTGCATACAGATCTTAACCCAAAAATAAATTCTTTTTTCCCGAGTAAGTTATCTTCTCCTTGTTGGTGTCCTCAAGTTCGTTCCTGGCTAATGCATCTAACAGCTATCTTCCTGGGCAAGGCGTTGTCCTGGGGTAGGCCAGCACACTAGCAGTACAGTAGACACTCCCAGAGCAAGAGAGAATATTGTGATTTATGATGGAGAGAAAGCTGAATGAGCACAGAAGAGCTTTTTTGTCCAGGGCTTGTTAGTGTCTCTGACACTGGGGTAATATGTAGCGTGCAAATGAGAAAAAAGCCACATTCTGCTCCGGTTTTTGACCTCTATGCTGTCCCTAAGCTAACAAAAGAGAGTAAGAAGTTCTTTCCAAGCACTGAAAGTCACCTGGCAGAAGACTATACCTGCCCCTCAACCCAAAGGTATACTGAACTCCCCCCATTTAACCAAAGGCTAAAATGCCACGTTGTGAAGACCTGAAGAGGACTTACGTGAATCACAGGATAGCACCAGGTACCAAAACAAAGCAACATAATTCACGTGTCCTCTTAACCACTTTTCACTTTCCTAACAAGATCCATAAGATACCTTAGATTTAAAGTTAAAAATTATACGATCAACTGAAAACAATTAGAAGAGGAATCTGCCCATTAAAGCCAAACCAATATAGTGACACTGCCCAACACAACCTGTCCCTTGTTCTAATACAAAGTGCCGTGCCCTTAGCTTGTCACTTCATTAGGAGAAATCTGGCAATCTTTACAACATTGCTTAGGTTTCATTACATTCTGAATAATTGGGAATAATCCACTAACCTGGATTACTTTCCACAATTCAGAAGCAAGCTGTGTAGACACTTTAGAATTGTCCATTCTCTCTTCTTTAGCCAGTTTCCATTCACTGAAAAGCATGTCCTGTTATGCTATGCCTGCTACATTATTCAGGATCTCCACTGAAGGTGAAATCAAAAGCTTTTTGGAAATCAAAGCATGTAATATTTCTGACTAACTTTAAATAAATGCTTGTTGGCAAGCAGCATTGTTGGGGGAAAAAGACGTTCTCTGCAGAAAGTGCGCCAGTTCATACAGAACAAGAGTCTTCTATCTGTTTAATACCTTCAGGTTTTATAATATCTTCCACAAATTTATCCAAAACAAGTATTTAGGCTCAGAGGCCTAGAGTTTCTTACCACACCAAAATCTTCTAAAATAAGGAATATCTAAGTTACTTTTCAGTTATTTTATAAAACAGTTGATTTTTATGACATGTTTAATGACGTCAGAATAAATCTGGATTCAAATTCTCTCAAAACCTTGGATATGCTTCACCAGCAAACAGTGGCTTATTATATCAAATAACATCAGATATTCCATTTTAATTATCTTTATTTGATTTAGTTCTTTAAATGCCTTTCCTGAGCCACAAGCACTGGAACAAACCCTGCAGACATCTTCTCTTCCTTTCACAATTTTTTTACACATTTGCCATCTTTCTTATAACTTCCCTTGCTGGTTTCCAGATTCTGATATTAATGACTTTACTGCTGTTTTCAGCAATTTGTTCCTCAGATTCTTTGTCCACATTTGTTTTGCCAGCATTTGTGCTTCTTTCGGACTCATTTAGGCATGACTTCCATATCTGAATAGAAATATTTAGCTTCCTTGATTCTCATCATCAACTATACTGGCATTCCCATGACTTGTTTTAACCTTCCTTCCTTCATGGTACACATTCTAATGAAGTATCTATTGTGATTTAAATCGTTTCTTGATTTCTCACAGTGATGTGGAAGTTAATTAAAATTAAACATGACTGTGTAAGATTATCTGGTGTAGAATGGTTGAAACCATAGCACCGTGGTCATGTACACTTTCCAACTGGTTCAATCTAGCTTTATGCTTCGCGCTCTTCTCAAGACCACCCAGGAATAAGTCTGGCTTGGTCTCTCCTCTAGCCATGATCAACTATCATAAGGCACAGCCATCTTTCTTTTGTTTTATCCACTTATTCCAATACACACATTAATCTGCCAATGTGAAGGCAACAAAAACCACACATTGTGAAAAAAACAGTGGGGCAGCAACCAATCAAAAGGTGGCATTTACTGCAGTAGTAAATTACTTCAGAAGTATGGAACTGCTAAGGACTTCACCTCTGCCAGTACTATTATGATAGAGATGTTTTCCAATTAACACCCCCCCCAAGAAATTGGTAAAACAGCATTATTATCTACATAAAAAATTAGGCAATTATCTGCTTGGGTTTTAAAGGTACAGCATGCAACAAGATTGAAGTTTTATGTGCTCAAGTAGTCCTTGACTTACAAAGGCAATTGGGACCAGAATTTCTATCACTAAGCGATGCAGTCGTAAAGTGTGATTGCATCCCTTAGTGATGGAAATCCCAGCAGTCCTGGTTGCTGTTGTTAACTGAATCCCACCGGCTTCCTACAACCAAGTCAGTGGCAAAGCCGGTAGGAAGTTGCAAGTCCCAGGTGGTTCACAAGCAGGCCGGCAGGCAAGTAAGTGGCTGCTGACAGGTGGGGTGTGTGTGAGGGGGTTTGCAAGGGAGGTGTGGTGAAGGTGGGGAGGGTGCGCAAGAGGCGCTGTGAGGGTCGGGGAGGGTGCCTGAGGGGGGGAGACTTATCCCAGCGACTTGTGATCTCTCCTGCCAGCTTCCCTATTGCCTTTTGGGGGAAGCTGGCAGGGAAGATTGCGTGATTGTGGGGCACCGCAACTGGTCGTAAATGCCAGCCGGTTGCCAAGTGCCCAGATCGCGATCACGTGACTGCAGGGGTGCTGGGACGACCAGAACTCCAAGGACCAGTCATAACCACCATTTGTTCAGTGCCATCATAACTCTGAATGGTTGCTGAACAAATGGCTGTAAGTTGAGGACTACCCGTATGTGTAAGTGTACAGTGGGGCAAAAAAGTATTTAGTCAACCACCAATTGTGCAA